TGAAGTTTTAGCTTATTATAAGGGAGAGGAGTAGGAGCATTGAAAATTTTTCGACTCTGGATCCCTTCATTGCCATAATGCTATGCATTGTATTTCTATTGATTTGAAATGCAAGCCAAAGTGCCAATCATTTATTTTTTCTGATTCCTTCTATTGTTCTGTTCTGTTTATTATGATTACTGTCTCAATTTGTGCATTCAATCACAAATAGAGCAATTGAGCTTTAACACAAAGAAATATTTGACATATCTCTCTTCTTTTCTATTTTTCGCTTTGCAAAAGTTTTGTCTACAGTTGTCTCTGTAATCTGTCATTAGGAATGGAAAAAAAATATTATTGTTGAAGTAAAATAATATGGGAGGGCTATCCAAATAAACTGACACTCCTAAAAGTAAATCTATGATAGTAAAATGAAGAGTTAGTGTCTCTCTCATATAATTCTAGAACCGTTTGTGTTATTATCATGAAATTTGGACAGAGTGAAGAAGGAACTTTTAACCCTCTGTCCTACAAATTGTTAAAAATTTTAAATTAGATGGTTTGGGAGAGACACTTGAAAAATTAAAATTTCTTATTAGTTTAGTATTAACCATTGTTATAAATCAAACTGCATGTTTAATCTCTTTTTTAAAATATGTAAAAGAAAAATTACAAATATATTTAATAAAACAAAGAGTTTATCCCATGTTTAATTAGTTTTAAACGCTTTTTCAGGTAAGATCGATAATAAAAGGGGATGAGATGTCACTAAATTAATATTTGCTCAGTTATCAAAATTCATGTGTTTATTTTGTTCACAGGTTTTCTTTTTAAAGGTATTTCCATAAGAGTAAATAATTTAAAATCAACGGTAATTTAGACAAAAAAAAAATTATAGAAGAAAAAGCAAGATTGATGGAGAAATGTGTTTATTCATATCAAGAAATCATGAAAAATTCATACCACTGGTATTGTCTTAATAGGTGCTGTTTTAATAGATGCCACATACATAAATAATGATATGTAATATAGGTTATGTGTTAATAGGTTCATTAAGGTCCTTAAAAGGAATAAGTACAGGATAAATTCTACGATTGTAGTAAATTTCAACTATCAAGAGTTGGCTGAGAGCAGTAAGATCAGGATAAATGATTGTTAATTTTTATTTTCATGGGATCAACTTCTAAATACATGGTTTGATTAGTTTAATAGTGTAAAGGCCCATGAAAGAAAGAAATAATAAATAATTGGATTTATTTAAATTTTTATTCCAATTGTGTTGGTATATGCTTAACAGTTTAGTGCATAATTTTGTAATATTGATTTTTTTAATCTGTATAAAGAACAGGTATTTAGGTTGTAAAAGATAATTCTTAATGCAAAAAAGTAAAATTGGCTTTGACTGTAAATAAAAATTATTAGGAAAAAAATTGATTTTTCATTTTTTCTTTCAGATTTCTGATTTATCATTGTTGCTTTGCCACCAGATTCCTGTAGTAATGGGAGAAAGTATTCACAATACATTGTTCTTAATTGTCTTCCATACAAGTATAGTTCTCAAAAAAATAATTGCCACCATTGAATAACTTTTGATTTAATGATCATATTGTTCCATTCACGGACTTAATCTTAAAGGTTTGAAATGGCGATATGTTAATTATTTAGTTCACATAAGACTTTTAATTACAAAATTAGATACAAAAACATACTTTTTCTGACTAAACACACCTTTTTTTTTTCCCATTGGACTTGGATTACTAATCCCCATGATAAAGGGAGTAGCCACAATCTAGGAATAGTTTGGTCAGGAGAACGGTTCAAAGTTTGGATTCATTAATATTAATTTTATTTTTTGCATATTTAATCATATCTCCAGAAAATTGAGCAGAAAAATTTCTGCACACAATTATAAAACTCATTTAAAACATAATTCTATGAAAAAGAATAACTTTTAGTAAATATTAATTATTTTCAGACGTGCCAACCTAGCAAAATTAACATTCAGGAGTTTCCCTAACAAGAAACAATT